TCTCTCTCCAGTATTCTTTATCATAGTCTCGCGTTTCCGCGGCCTTTTCCTCTGCCACCACCCCGTCCTCTCCCGCCTTGTGCTGTCTGAGCAAAGGAGCTTCCGTGGGAAGTGGACTGTCGTGGGTGTTACTCTTGTGTGTTTGTCCAAAAGTTTTAATACCTCATGTAACGTGTGGGGATAGTTATCAGTGCCTTTGGCAAAGTCGTCCCTCAGGTTCTGTTTAAGCTTGGATTTTCGGCTGAACTATTTGTTAGAAGATGTAACTATAGTACGTTCTTCAGCGTATTCCGAGACTTTCTTCTGGTCATCGGCTCCTAGGTCAGCGTATGCTGTTTTTGGGTGGAGTAGTTTGCCGTATGCAGCAGGGCTCATCGTGTATCTTGAAATCCCACGGATTGCAATGTTCCTTTTGGTGGAAAATTGCTCGTGGTATTCGGAAGGGTAAGGCTCCTTGGTGGAAATTCAACAGTTGTTTTTCCAGTTGGAATAATGTGTGGTACACAAATTATCATCGTCTGGGCCATAATCGTCTTATGGATCATTTTTGTAGCTCCAGTGGATCGCATTTTAACAGGACGTCTTCGTAGCCGTGTTCTGCTTCATCTGTCCTTTAATAGTCGGGTGCACTGCCCTAGGATCAAGTTGAATGCTTTGCCTCTATTTTCTTGTAGTTTTGCCAACCTCGTAGGTGGGTCTTCATCAGCCTGCATACTCTGCTCTCTCGAGTCCGCCGAGTTCTCGTCCGGTGGATCTTCTTTGGCTGCAGTGAGGTTGGCTATTTCATTTTCGAGTTTTGCTTTTTCTATCGTTAGGTGCGTAAGCTACCGAGAGTTGGGTTTTCATGACCTCTGCTATCTCGTCTTCCAGTAGCTCTGGCTTTCCTCGGTCGCCGTTAGGAGCGAAGGTTGTTCTGTTCGCGTGTTCCGCGGCGCGTCAACCTGTTCCGGGTTCCTCTGAATACACCGGTGCTACCAACACTGTCTGTTTCAGGTTGCGTACTCATTGCTCATGTCGTCACCCATCGTTTGTCCAACGTGGATGACGATCTTCTCCCATGTCGCGTATCATCTGGTCTGCCTTCCAGATCCAGTTGTACCGAAGTTAAACCATGTTGGTCGAGGGCTTTGCATGAACCTTTCTGCTGGTTCGACGATGGTTGGTTCTTCCATGCCCTCTTGCTTTGCCGCCTCCTGGCCACCTCGTCTTTTACCTCTACCGCTCATTGTCTATGCTACGGTAGGGGACTATTTCAATTCGTTGTTTTTTGATTGACTAGCTCTTTTAATTAATTCTCGTCCGACTACTTATCGTCTTATGGCATGGGGCGATAAACTTCAAATTATACTCTCTGGCTAGGGAGTGTTAAATCTATTTACTAAGATCTTGCAGGGAGGGAACGATTGCTTCACACACTGTGCGGTCGTTTCCACTCCGAACCCGTTTCTTTGTATTGTTGATTCCTTGTTGGGTGCCTTTCCTTTGGCCCCTGCGCTGGCACTATGGCTTTCGCGCTTGTTGTTGGCTGGATGCTGTTGCCGTCGACCGATACTCGCGTCGTTGGCTGCAGTCTTCTATCGGCACGACGATCCTCGGTCGTCCGATCTTGTTCTCGTTGCGTCGTCGCGATCCGTCCTCGGATCCGTTGCCGCAGTTGCTGTCGATCCTTCGACAGGCTTCTTCTCTTCGGTCTTGTACCGATGCCGTCGTCGTCGACGGTCTTCTTCTGTTGCTGTCGATGCTTCGACAGGCTTGGTCTTCTATCGATCCTTGCGCTTCGTCGACGGTCTCGTCGTCGTTGACACTCTTCTCCTCGCGTCGTCGCGATCGGCGTTCGGCCGATACTCCTGCTACCGTTAGCTTCGTTGCTTCGTTGCTTCGTTGCTTCGATAGGCTCCTCTTCACTCGATAGTAGACCGCCTTTTTCAGTAGTATGTTAGTTGCTCTAAGCTCTCTTCTAGTTTACTGTTGCTATTGAGATACTACTGAAAAAGTGGGTGGGCTCTGTATTTCTACTGTGAAATTCTAGTACAGAGGTACAGGGGTTGAATCCCTAATCGCGAATCCCCAACAATATTCCTCTCTTGTGTGTTGCAGCCTGCTGGCAATCTCTACAGCAGTGGCAATATCATCTTGGTGGATGATGGCCAGCTGAGCATACATAAAGTCCGATAGCTTGTCAATTTCGGGGGTGCCTTCAATCACATCCTTGATATCCAAAGCCCACTCCCTTTCTTCTCTTGAAAGCTGCATCCTACGGGGGTCATTGGGTCCCAGGATTCTGTTGTTGAGGACATCTAGGGCAACTGTTTCATGCCCTGAACCACCAGAGTCCACCTCATCCTGCTCGGCTTCATTTCGATCTCTCACTGGTTCAGGATTGAGCACAGGCACCTGTTCCTCATCACTCATGATACTCTGGGGTATGTACTAGCGCTCAAGAATGTATGATAGCCGGAGCGCAGCCTTGACTGTGGATGTTGAACAGGGTTGCAGGTTGTAGGTTGTACTCGAGTACTAGTTGGTTGAACTCAGCAGGTTGCGGGGTTGCCCAACGCAAGCCAAATACCTCCCTTCGTGCCATAATGCTTCCCCTGAGCGAATATCTCCTTCAATTCGTATTGGCATGGAACGATTTATGGTTTAAATTGTCACTTGCCCTTTAGAAATCGTCCCTAATTCTCGGGATCATCCGTGCAGGATACAGCTCCTCCGAATAAGCTGGTTGATTGGCTTCGGTATCAGTACAGCGTACTGGTACGTATCGCATCGCTGCATGTGCTGCTGCATGCACATGGAAGTCTTTCTGCATGCAAAACAAATGAGCCTTCAATGGGGCGCTAGGTGCTACAGATGAACCATTCTTGTACATGATTCAACTCCACCCCTTAGCTTTGATGATGAAGGGTTTGGACTTTCCCTCCAATGTGGAATGATCTGAATGATTTCACTTACTAGTAGTGGAATCCCAGGCTGCGTACTATGCTGTCAATTAAAATGAAAAGCAGCTGACGAGCGAGTGCCGTAGAATTGCAGTTTAGTAAAGTGCAGCCTAAACAAGAAAGACTTCGTCCATTAAAACTACGTGATACTCTATCCACTTCCTACCTAGATGGAGCCATTTTTCGCAAGAGGATGCCGTTAGGGTTTTGGACCGGCAATTCAAATCAAGACAACGAGAAGTTTCTTTCATTTTCATAGCGCAATTTCAGAGTCTCAGCCATTCTCCCCAGAAAGCGCTGCTTTGTGGCTTCCCAGGAAGGTACTAGATAAACAGTATCCAACCTGCCATGAGGAAATTGGCATCCGATCTGCATCTTTGAGTAGATATCCTTTGGAATGAAAGGACGTCCCAAAGACTTGATCATATTGAAGAACATGGGTGTGTGGAAGAACTTGTACTGTCGAATACAAAAGGGATAAATCCCACCAATTTCTGCCCAGTATTTCTCGTGATACTTCATTTCACAAAGTCTTGGGATCCACGTACACCCATCGCACTCCAGTATAAAGATAACTCCTCGTCGGATGGATTCCAGGTCTGGAGTAAGTGCATGATTCTGGTAAAAAGCGCCCCCAAGGGACTTATAGACATTTTGATTGTCTTTCATAAGATTCATGTCCATTTTGCCAAGGTCACAGACCAGAACGTAACATCCTTCTTGATGACTGAAGCTAAAGGATAAATTGTTTCCTGGGTTCAAATCTAGCAATATTTGCAGTTTGACAATTCCATCTTCCAATGTATCTCGTATATCGTATTCTTCCCTTGAAATTTGCAGTTTGCTAGCACTCTCCACAGCAGTGGCAATATCATCTTGGTGGATGATGGCAAGCTGAGCACACATGAAGTCCGATATATTGTTGATTTCGGGAGTGCCTTCAATCACGTCCTTGATATCCAAAGCCCAGTCCCTTTCTTCTCTTGAAAGCTGCATTCGGCGAGGGTCCGTAGGCCCAAGGATTCTGGTATTGAGGACACCTTGATTGACGAACTCTCCCTCTTCGTCCTCGTCATCTTCCTCTTCCAGATCAACTGCATGATGATGTTCGTTGTCATGGTGGTGATCGGCTTGCTCGACAGCCTCCGCGGGTACGTCATCTCCAGCAACTGCAGCTAGCTCCTCTGGGTTGTCGTTCATCTTGCCTCAGTGCAAGTATTTGTAAGGCACAATGGAACCAAAACAAAATTTCGAGAGCTCTTCGAGGGAAGGTGATTTGGAGATGAAAGGAGTGCTTGCGGAGGCAGGCAAAACAAATATAAATGCCAGGAACAGCAACGCAAACAGTGTTAACAATAATGCCATTTTTTAAACGTGTTTCATCAACTTTCATCCATTCTCTTTTCGTAAATGTTATGAAAAGCAAAAGAAGTTCCCATTATTTCAAAGCGCAAGTCATTCAGGGTACTGTGTTTCTGTAGTATCTTTACTACGGATTCGGGAAGAACTGTCTTTGGGGCAGCTGGGGAAGTGAATTGCTCCCACCCGGAAGGAATTGCGGCACCTCGGAAGGGAAAAATTTAGCCGTAGGTTTCCTCAAGCTTACATCCGAGGATCCAAGGTCTACCGTACGGCAACTGTTCCAGGGATTTCCTTCACATGCGTGGTGTCAGGTGATGATTGGAAAAGGATTTAAAAAAGACTTCTCTTCTGGGGGAGCAAGACTTAGTGATAAGGCAGCTCATTGGTCCCAAGTTTTGGGGGCACTGGTGCCGCCAATAAGAGTATTATTTAAATGGGTCTTATGCCTGCCCAAACGGAGAGTCATACTCTAAATCCTGGGTCATTTCTATTCCACTGCACCGTTACGCGCTACCGTACCACTCTAGCTGCTGGTTCTCGTGCCGTACCAGGTACGGCTGTACCAGTACATTTACGAAGAGCTCACGAGGGCAGCTCGAGGGCACTGCGTCCATTGTCTATCCAAGTTCCTTTGCTCCTCCCTGCACTCCTCCCTTCACCCCTTTCCTTGGCTTCCTTGTTGCCCTGCTTGCCCACTGCCCACTTGATTGCTTGCCTTGTGTTCCTGCATCGTGCCCTCCCCTCCAGCTCTGTCCCCATCCCCATCTTAGCTCTCTCTAATCCATAGTAACCCCTCATTGACCAAAAGTTACCTCGCTCGTAGCTGCTCTGAGTTCCGGTAGCTGCTGCGCCGTACACCTCGTGGTGATAGAGAGTTACTCTGCTGGAGTACTGATAACTGCCATCCTTATGAAAGGCGGGTTGTGCTGTTGCGCTGCTGCGCTGCTGGCTGGGAAAGCGGATATCATCTTCAAAATGCATTGCGATTTGCGATTTAATTTATTTGTGAAGATGATGGTCGCTGGTGCCGCTTTGTCCTGGTGCCTTCATCAGGAAACTACCAGGCACCGGTACTGGTCTAGCCACAACGGTTCTACGGTTGTACCGGTACGGTTCTCGTTCGCTTCCGGTTCTACTAGCTAGTACGTGCCAAGCACACGGCCTCTGGGCAATTCGATTCCACAGCAATGAGCCATCCAAGCCAGAATGGAAGCGTTTTGCGCACTTGACACTTTGACCTGGGCGCACTTCAAAAGATCCCTCGACCAGATACCAGATCGTCTAAATAGCTAGCTAGATAGCGGGCACTTTGTGTCTCGAAGATAGATGGAAAACCCAAGACGACGAATTGGAAGCGGTGCACGTGCGTGGAGGACAGTCAGAATGAGCAGCAAGAATTTTACATACCCAATCATGCCAACGCCCAAGAAGACGCAGAAGCAGATTCAGAAACAGGAAACAGAGGCCCTGTATGAAGGGATCTTGGGTCGAGATCCCTGTGGGTGGAACTCCGTGCCGGTAGGGGCCGGACTGTGCCAACACCCCAAACACCGTAACAACGCAACAACGCAGATTTCATGGACGCATATTGACCCTCGTCAAATGGAACTCGCCCCAGAAGAACGAGAGAGGGCTGAAGACATCAAGGCACTGATTGAGGGTCTTGAAGAGATTGATAATTTATAGGACTTTATGTATGCTCAGTTGGCCATTATCCATGGAGAAGATATTACTCCTGCAGTTGAGATTGCCAATGGATCGCAGGTGGCCAGACAGGAGTATGATACACGGGAGACCTTCAAAAATTGATGAGAGTGTGCCCAGGGGCTAACATGTACTTTGGATACAACAATGAAAGAGGATGTTATATCCATGTCTATGATTATGATTATGATTATGATTATGCCAAGATTGACATGGATTTGATGAAGCAGGGAAACAATGCCCATGCCACCATCGTAGCCAGCTATTACCTGAATCATTGCATTGCTCTGGACTTGGAAGCAGTGCGAAAGGGGATACTATGGATTGCAGAGTGCCAGGGGTATCAGTGGATGCCAACAAGGGGCAGTCTCAGGTATGCAGACAGATACTGGAATGACATGGGCAGCATTTATCCGCAGACAAAATTCGAGAATACAACTGTTTTCACACCTGCCATCTTCAATGTCATCAAATCCATGATGCGGCCATTTATTCCACAAGATGTCTATTCCAAGATCAAGCTTGGCTGCCGATTTCCAGGGTTCCATGGACAGCGCTTAGATTCAGTCTACATGATACCAACTCCGCAAATTGCTGAACAACGTGTCCTCTCAAAGTGGCATGAGGCACTTCACTTGCAATACGCAAATGAGCAGTCTTTCACTTTATAGTTATTCCATGTATGGGATGGGTAGCAGCTAGAGTACCCAGCCACCCAACAAATTTTGTCTCTTCTGCGAGATCATGGATGGGAAGCTCCAAGCCTGCAGTAGGTTTGGCCTATAATAAGAGAAATTCCTTGGACTCAGTTCTATCTTTTTCTTTTGAGATAGCGAGGCCATAAATGTTGGGGGAACCAGATAAGATCAAACCGTACCTGTAGCCAATTGTACCCGAAGGATCCCAGCCACAAACATGTAGTAGGACATGTAGCTACTGTAGCTTGTAGCCCGCCGCTGAAGAGCAGCGCGGCAAAAAGCAGTGGCTCAACCAATCTGCAGCTTCTTCCGTCAAAATTGGAGCTACATGTATTTGAACTCCCGTGTCCCTTCTTTTACTACGTACCGGTAGATCTGAGCGGGTCGCTCATTTGGGTCGGGCTGCATGTTTGCTGCTCGGTCCTTGGTGGCAATTGGCAAGCAACCCACTACCAGTACATGTAGCATCGAGGGGCACATGTGCCGTATCAAATGCTGTGACAGCAAGCCAAGGAGAGGTGCGAGTTTGAGCAGACGGTATTCAAAAGGGATCTGGATGCCAAGATATCCAAACGAGACCACAATGTAATAATGGGAGCCTTTGGGGTAACTTTTGCTGGGCTTGTGTGGCAACACCCGTTAGCATGCTTGCACTATCATGCGCTTTGCATGCTCTCTCGAACTGGGTCGCCCTCTTACAATTCCGCCTCAACTTCAGACAGTTCCGAATCCAAAGCAAAAAGCAAAGTGGCAGGAAGGAAACGAAAGTTTTGATCCGGCTTGAAAAGAACCGTTGTCGGTGTCGGATCGCAACTGATCGCAACTGATCGCACCAGAGAGTGCTAAGTTCTCTTCTGTTGTGTTAACTTCAATGTAGGACATAGCATGACAATCTCCCCAATGCCGAAAGTGACTGCTGGTTCGGACTCGATGACCCAATCCTCGATCCGGCATGCTGAGCTATTACGCAGTTCGCTTTTTGCGGCCACATTTTAGCGAGAAACAAGCAGTGTGCAGGGTGCCAAATCCAAACTCTCACAAGTTTCATCTCATCAACCAAGAAAGCACTATAATCAACCAAGAGTCCATCATTCAATGGCCACTACTACTACATCCACACCACCAGCATGGAAGAGCGGTGCCGCTGGCTATACCGCTGGCGTCACTGGTGTCGTTCTGAACTATCCCCTCGATAGCATGAAAGTCTGGATGCAATGTGGTAGCGCAGGCGCGAATCGGCACTTACAGGGAGGAGCCAAGAAAAGCCAAGGCCGCGCCATCAACCGTGTTGCTGCCACTCGAACAGCCTCCATGAGCACTGTTGCATTTTCCTCTACTGTTGTTGAACCAAAATTACACCTTCCAAAGATATCTGGGACGATCCGTGCGCTCTATTCGGGAGTCTCGGTTCCCTTGGTCACGGGAGGATTGGTTCGGAGCATCAACTTTGCCACTTATGACACCACACGACGATTCCTTAGTTCGGACGGATCGGCATCGTCGTCCTTGACACATGTTGCCATGGCAGGTGCCGTGTCGGGAAATGTTGGGGCAATACTTACAGCACCGTTCACACTGGTCAAGACACACCAACAAATCCTTGGAATTGGCTTTCGGCAGGCCGTTTCCAAATCATTTATTACATCGTCTTCCTCCAAACTATCCAATCTGTACGTGGCATTTGGTCCTCATTGGCTTTCTGCCACCATTGGAGGAGCCTGTTATTACACAACGTACGAAGCGTGTAAGCAATCCATACTACAATTCAAAACAGAACAATCAGCAGCATCCGGAAAGGACCATCTTGTTAAGTTGACCATTCCCGAACGCATGGCATCGGCTGCCGTGACTGGGATTGTGAATTGGTCCGTCATTTTTCCATTGGATGCATTGAAAAACCGAATGTACCACCAACACATCATTGTGGGTGGCAGCAACAGCAGCAGCAAATCTGTCTTGTCCTCGGCCCAAATGGCACGACAAATGATACGGGAAAGATCCGTGTATCGAGGCTTTGCCGTGACCGTATTGCGGGCTGGGCCCATGGCAGCATTGGTGTTGCCAATCTACGACATGGCATTTCAATACTTGTTGGATCACTAGCTAGTAGAAACGAATGCAGTGAACTGAGGAGTTTTCATAGAAGAGGAGGACACAGCGGCAGTGCATGTAAGCAGAAACCTCATAAATAGAATAGAATAGAACATACAGTATATCACAAGATCACTTCACCTCCATTAGCTCAATCTTGCTTCCTACCAGGTCCCTTACTATTAATGTACCGGTACCGGTACCATGGTAGCGGTACCGTACCGGTATCTTTACCGGCCACAATATGTACGGTACCGGTACGTTGTACAGTGCACGTACTTGCAGCCGACCAATGCAAGCACGAGCGACGCACCAATTCCATCCTCGCAAAACTCACCATAACGTTGGCTCTGGTCCACAGTTGGGGAGGGTCGTTGGTACGTCTTCTTCTTTTTGGATCGAACTTGTGTGAGCTCCCGCTCACATCCTTGTCACTACTAGATAGAGTCTCGATAAAATCTGAACAATCGTCTCGTCCCCCATCGACGTAGACGGCGACCGAGAAGACTATAGCTGTCGCCGCTTCAACACATTTGTCCCGCGTCTCCGCATCACCAGCATATTTTCCTGATCATTCTTATCCTATGTTTAGTTTGTATACTTGTGTAAGGTAGTACGAATCATTGTGATACGGTATCATAGTCTCACTGAAGCACCAACACAGATGTACTTTACCGCGCTTCTCTGTACATGGAAGGCTCGTAGTTGATAACTTTGCTGGGGGGTGGCTGGTCTCCGAACACCTCTGGCCCGCCATCTTGTGGTTTAAAGATCAATGCTGCTCCATCGATGCAATACCTCTGACCAGTCTTAGCGGCTGAAGTCCCAACATAGACCCATCCATCGTTGAAGAGATCTCCTAAATGCCCTCCACAGGTACCACATCTCACTTCTCGGCCATTCAACGTGGCTCGTACAGGATCCAACTCTTCTACCTCCACACCAGGAAGGGCCGAAGCAAAGCTTGGCCAACCTGTATTGCTATTAAATTTATCATTGCTCGCAAAGAGGGCGGTGTTGCAACCAGCACAGCTGTACGTGCCACTATTATTGGCAGCCGTGAAGGTATTCAAAATGCTGCTCTTTTGGCGCTCGGTGCCACCCCGTCGAAGGATGTTGTACTGTGCCCCGCTCAACACGTAAGCCCATTCTCGCTCCGTGCGCTGGACGGTATATCCATCTGTTCGGCTCTTGATATTATTAGCATCCGCCGCGTGGGCTGGATCTATCTTGGTCGACGCTGCTGTTGCCAATGTGGTGATGGTAGTGTGCAGCATACGACGTCGCTCCAATCCGGCAGGAGCTGCCAGCGCCGAGGTTATATAGCTATATGTGGTTGCTACCAGTATGAACGAGGTGAGGAAGCACTGCATGGTCTTAGCTTGCAATGCTTAAGGGTATGTGTTATGGTCTTCTCCGTTGGCACAGCCGCCATTTCCATTATGCCGGAATGGCATGCAGCGAGACCTTGGGCCGGGATGAAAAACATCATCGGCCTGCGGTATTGCGTGGCTACGACGGCTGAAAAGCAGCTCAACTGGCTGACTGAGTCACTGCACCGGTACCGATAGTAAGGGGACCTGGTAGGTCGCGTCGTCCCGTCGTGGAACAAGCTTGGACACATGGGGGGTTTAGAGTCGTACCAGTACTAGCTAGCTAGCTAGCGCAAAGAAGCATGCACTCAAGTGTCAAGTGGATCCAGAACTCATGGCAGAACCGTGCATAAAAGAACGGACGGATCGACCCATCATAAAAAAGATGATGGCTGAAGCTCCAGATGAAAGCAACAACAACGCGTTGGGTGATGCCACTACCACTGCCAATTCTGGTAGTTCTCAACAGTCACACAAGGGAACAATGCATTTCCTAGACCCCAAGAAAGGAGCTGAAAAGTTAAAGGGAAAGATGCGCAGTCAAGCCACTGCGACGAATCAACCGAAATCCCCCCCAAAAAAAACTGAATGTCTAATAACGGATTCAGACGAGATGTGCTTGAGGACTACCCACGAGCTAGGGCTCGGGTATTTCCCACAGTCAAGTCTGCTCACCGGCCACACTGGCCTCCTGAGAGGGTGCGACGCCTGTTAG